TTCCTCTCAGGATCGTCTTTGCTGTGTCCCAAAGATTTTGAAGAGTTGTGTTTTCATTTTCATTTGTTTCCGTGAATTTTTTCAATTCTTCTTTAATTTCCTGGTTGACCCATTCATTCTTTCGTAGGATGCTCTTTAGCCTCCATGTATCTGAGTTATTTCCCACTTTCCTCTTGTGATTGAGTTCTAGTTTCAGAGCATTGTGATCTGAAAGTAGGCAGGGAATGATCCCAATCTTTTGGTACCGGTTGAGACCTGGATTTGTGACCTAGGATGTGATCTATTCTGGAGAATGTTCCATGTGCACTAGCACTAGAGAAGAATGTGTATTCTATTGCTTTGGGATGGAATGTTCTGAATATATCTGTGATGTCCATCTGGTCCAGTGTGTCATTTAAGGCCTTTAAGTGTTTGCTGATCTTTTGCTTGGATGATCTGTGTATTTCAGTGAGGTGGGTGTTAAAGTCCCCTACTATTATTTTATTATTGTCGATGTGTTTCTTTGGTTTTGTTATTAATTGGTTTATATAGTTGGCTTCTCCCATGTTAGGGGCATAGATATTTAAAATTGTTAGATCTTCTTGTTGGAAAGACCCTTTACGTAAGATATAGTGTCCTTCCTCATCTCTTATTACAGTCTTTGGCTTAAAATCTAATTTATGTGATATAAGGATTGCCACCCCCAGCTTTCCTTCAATGTCCATTAGCATGGTAAATTGTTTTCCACCCTGTCTCTTTAAATTTGGAGGTGTCTTTGGGTCTAAAGTGAATCTCTTGCAGACAGCCTATCGATAGGCCTTTTTTTTTTTTTTTAATCCATTCTGATACCCTGTGTGTTTTGATTGGGGGTATTTAGCCCATTGGTGTTCAGGGTAACTATTGAAAGATATGAATTTAGTGCCATTGTAATTGCCTGTAAGGTGACGGTTACTGTATATTGTCTCTGTTCCTTTCTGGTATGTGTTACTTTTAGGCTCTCTCTTTGCTTAGAGGACCCCTTTCAGTATTTCCTGTAGGGCTGATTTGGTGTTTGCAAATTCTTTTAATTTTTCTTTGTCCTGGAAGCTTTTTATCTCTCCTCCTATTTTCAATGAGAGCCTAACTGGGTATAGTATTCCTGGGTGCATAATTTTCTCGTTTAGTGCTCTGAATCTATCACACCAGTTCTTTCTGGTCGGCCAGGTCTCTGTGGATAATTCTGTTGCCAATTTAATATTTCTACCATTGTATGTTACAGACTTCTTTCCTGAGCTGCTTTCAGGATTTTCTCTTTGTCTCTGACACTTGTTAGTTTTACATTAGATGATGGGGTGTTGACCTATTTTTGTTGATTTTGAGGGGGGTTTTGTTGCCTCCTGGATTTTGATGCCTTTTGCATTCCCCAAGTAAGGGAAGTTCTCCGCTATAATTTGCTCCAATATACCTTCTGCGCCTCTCTCTCTTTCTTCTTCTTCTGGGATCCCAATTATTCTAATATTGTTTCATCTTATGGTATCGCTTATTTCTCGAGTACTGATCCAATAGTTGTTTTTCTCTCTTTTTCTCAGCTTCTTTATTCTCCATCATTTGGTCTTCTATATCACCAATTCTCTCTTCTGCACCATTTATCCTAGCAGTTAGAACCTCCATTTTTTATTGCACCTCATTAATAACCTTTTTGATTTTGAGTTGGTTAGATTTTTGTTATTTCTTCAGAAAGGGATTCTCTAGTATCCTCCATGTTTTTTTCAAACCTAGCTAATATCTTTATAGTCATCATTCTGAACTCTAGTTCTGACATCTTACTAATGTTAATATTGATTAGGTCCCTGGCAGTTGGTACTGGTTTTTTTTTTTTTTTTTTGAGGTGAGTTTTTACATTTTGTCATTTTCTTCAGAGAAGAATAGATGAATGAGAGAACAGTATGCTCAAAGGGTAACAATGACCCCAGAAAAATACACACTAAGCAAATCACAAGAGACCCAAAACCTGGGGGAAAGGAAAGGGGAAAAAGAAAAAAGAAAAAAAGAATATGATCACGCTGATGAATAGAACAGAGTCACGTACTAGATTTTGGCACCTCCCAGAATTTTAAAGAAAGAAAAACGTATAGATACACAAAGATAAGGGTAAATATGGTGAAGTGATGGAATATGACTGTAAAGATGAAAATTTAAAAAGATTTTAAAAAGGGAATTTATAAGAATTTGGTGGAGAAAAGAGGGAAAAAGTAAAAAAAAAAAAAGGATGGAATGTGATGAGGTAGAAGAGTAGAACAAAGCCATACACTAGATTTAAGGTATATATTGGTTTGTCAGAAGAACCTGTATCCCAAAATTTTAAAGGAAAAAAAAATATATATCTACACATAGAGACAATGGGGTTCTATCAATGAGGGGCTAGAATATGAGTGTAAAATGAAAATTTAAAAAGATTTAAAAAAGATATTGGTTGAAAAATGGGAGACAAACCATGAAAGACTGTGGACTCTGAGAAACAAACTGAGGGTTTTGGAGGGGAGGGGAGGAGAAGGGTGAGCCTGGTGATAGGTATTAAGGAGGGCATGTATTGCATGGAGCACTGGGTGTGGTGTATAATCAATGAATCTTGTAACACTGAAAAAATAAAATAAAATTTAAATAAAAGGAAAGAGGAAAAATAAAAATAGAAAAAGAAAAAAATAAAGAAAATTTAAAAATTAACTTCGAAAAATGAAAGAATCATGGGGAAAAAGCCATGAATTCTATGCTCTGTATTCCCCTTGCATTGGAGATTTGCAGTTCTCTTTCATCTGTAAACTTGGTCTTGGCTGAATGTTCTTGCTGATCTTCTGGAGAAGGGGCCTATTGCAGTGATTCTCAAATGTCTTGCCCAGGTGGAAGTGCCCTGCCCTTGCCAGGGTCCAGACTAAGGAATCTGCTCAGGTTTGCTCTTGGTAGCTTTTGTTCCCTGAAAGCTTTCCATACAGCTTTGGAGGATGGAATGAAAATGGTGCCCTCCCAATCTGTGGTCCTGGAGGAGTAGAGATCTTGGGGTCCTTCTCCTCCGTGTGCCCTCAGAGAAAAGCAGTCAATCACTCCTGTCTCCCTGGTCTCCAGCCTGCACTTGTGCTCACCTGGCCTGTGACCGAGTGTTTCTATCTTTGGCATATGACCCCATTTGTAGTTTTCAAACCCTGCAGATTTCTGTGGTCTCCTCCTGTGCTGCTGCTCCCCATGCTGCTCCTCCCAGGGGAGGAAGGAGAGTCTCCCTGGATCTGCTGCTCGTTGGGTCCCTGATTGAGGAGTAGTGATCCAAATGTGCTGGGGATTATTGTTTATGGCAACCCCAAGGTGAGAGCCCACTCTCCTTCTTACTGCTGACTTCCCCACTCTGATACCTGGGAGCTCTGCCATACTCAGGCACCCCTGGTCTTTCTGTGACCTCGATGGTTCTGAGACCATACTGTCCCAGCGAGGCTTCCACCCCCCACTTAGCCACCCTCAGTGGAACCAACTTCTAAAAATTCTGATTTTGTGTTCCGCTGCTCTGTCACTTGCCAGGAGTCTGCTTACCGAGGGTCCCTCCCCTACTGTCTATCTTCCCAAATATCATCTGGGTTCACATCTTTACGTGTCCTACCTTCCAAAAGTTGTGGCTTTTCTGTTCATAGAATTGCTGCTATTTTTTCCTTCGATCTCCTGTTGAGTTTGTAGGTGTTCAGAATGCTTTGATAACTATCTAGCTGAATTCTTAGGAGCAGACAAAATTTAGGTCTTCTATTCCTCCGTTATCTTGCTCCTGGGGTTTTTCATTTTCAAATTTTACACAAGGCTTGCAGCAAGGGAGATGGGAAAGGACAAGTTAAAAAGATCTTTGTTTTTAACGAGATTCAGATTTCTTGAATAAGTACTATTTGGATTATTTCAGGTCTTTGGTTTACTTCTAGAGTTCTATAGAATTTGATTTTGGCAGTTTTTGCCAGGATTCTAATTGCTTTTATTAAGGAAAAGCTTTTTGGAGATCCTTCTCTGCCATTCCTGCTGATACCATTTTCTGTTCTGTTTCTTAAGCTATTATAAAATCTCACTTTTGGTAAATCACTTTTTTCTTTTTAATAAATGAAGATACTGAAATTCTCAAGGTTTAAATTGAGTTATTAAAAGTTATTACTTCAGCTGTTGTACTAAACATAAAGAAGGATATTTCTTCTTTTATTGTTTGTTATGATTTCAGGAAAGTTGATTTTTTTCCCTCATAGCTTGTTGCAAGATTTAAAGGTTAATACATAGAAAGAACAATATGTCAATTCCAGTACATGAAATTAAGAACAGTAAGCTCTCAGTCATTATTAGCTATTATCAATAATGTCCTTTTCTTCATCTTCCTCCTTTCAGTACAGCTCATTGGAACTTTTCCCTCTTATACCATAGCAGAGCAACTATAACAAACCTCTGAGAATAATAGATTGGAATTGAGAAAAGTTGGTAATGAAATTTCCTTTCTCTGAAAATTGTTTTTATTGTGTAATTGAAACTTTGATTCTTATTGCTGTGTATGAATGCTAAGAGGCAATAACTGAAGCACAGATGTCAACTTTAGCATCTGGAAAGCCAAGAAATGAGCAAAGTGTAGTTTTGTGCATGGGACACTGAATGATATCAGGAAGCAAAAAGTCTGGACTATAGTCTGTATCTAGTACCAAAAAAGCTATATGATTTTGGCATTTTTCTGCCCCTCACAGTTTCATCTGGAAATTTTCATAGAGTTGAATTACATGTCCTCTGAGGCCTTTTTTAGTTTTTTGGGCTTTATTCAGTTGAAAGTTATATCTTTTGAAGAAAATTGGAAATGTATTTAATGTAAGACTGTTCCTTTTAAAGTACTCAGTAAAGGCATAAGTAGTGAGGCTTTACTAGAAAGGTTTGCATTAATTTTTCACTCTAAAATATCACATTATATAAATAAATAAAATACATTATGTGTTTTATAGGAAAAAATGACAATATGAATTTAATATCTTTTGTATGCTTTGTTTTAGGTTGGTACAGAGGAGTTTCAACAAAGAAGCCAAATGTAAAGGTAATGAAAAGTTTATTGTTACCGTTTCTAATGTAAGAAGTGACCTAGTATGTTTATTTGCTATAAAAACAATTCTTACTTGTCCATCTTTTAATCTTTTACAATAGCCACACTCTTTCTTTCCTTTACAGAGCTGTATTAGACCCTACCCTGCTCTATGTCAGCAGCATTAAAATTTTTTTTAAAAGGACAGAAAACACATGTATGATCATAGCTGCAAAACTCATTTTGAAAAAGCCTGTTTAAGATATTTAATATTTTTTCCTTCAAGTATTTGACAAAAAGTAAATTGACCTCATAACCAACACCAAAGAAATACAAACAATTGTAAGAGAATATTGGAAACAATTACATGCCAACAAATTGGGCAATTTGGAAGAAATGGATAAATTCCTAAAAACATGTAAAGTACCAGAACTGAAACAGTAAGAAATAGAAAACTTAAACAGACCCACAACAGACAAAGAAATTGTAATAAAAAATCTCCCAACAAATAAGAATCTAAATTAAAAAAAAAAAGAATCTAGGGCCGGGTAGCTTCTCAGGGAATTACACTAAATATTTATTTATTTATTTAAAAGATTTTATTTGTTTATTTGACAGCAAGAGAGGAAACACAAGCAGAGGGAGTGGGAGAGGGAGAAGCAGACCTCCTGCCACGCAGGGAGCCTGATGTGGGACTGGATCCCAGGATGCTGGAATCATGACCTGAGCTGAAGGCAGATGCTTAATGACTGAGCCATGCAGGTGCCCCTATACCAAACACTTAAAACAGAATTAATATCTATTCTTCTGAAGCTGTTCCAAAAAATAGAAATGGAAGGAAAACTTCTAAACTCATTCTTTGAGTCCAGCATTACCTTAATCCTAAAACTATGCAAAGACCCCATGGAAAATGAGAATTACAAACCAATATCCCAGATGGACATGGATAAAGAAATTCTTACCAAGGGGATGCCTGGGTGGCTCAGTCTATTAAGCATCTGCCTTCGGCTCAGGTCATGAGCCCATGGTCCTGGGATTGAATCTTGCATCAGGCTACTTGCTCAGCAGGGGGTCAGCTTCTCTCTCTGCCTGCTCTGCCTGCTCTTCCTGCTGCTCTCCCTGCTTGTGCACTTGCTCTCTGTCTCTGTCTGTCTCTCTGAACAAATGAATAAAATCTTAAAAAAATTCTTACCAAGATAGTAGCTAATAGGATCCAACAATACATTAAAAGGGTTATTCACCTCAACCAAGTGGATTTATTCCTGTGTTGCAGAAGTGATTCACTGTCCACATACCAATCAACTTGCTACACCACAATAACAAAGGGTAAGAACTATATGATCCCCTCAATAGATGTAGAAAAGCATTTGACAAAATACAGCACCATTTCTTGATAAAAAACCATCCACAATGGAACGATAGAGGGATTATACCTCAACATCATAAATGCCATATATGAAAGATCTGTCCTTAATGGGGAAGAACTGAGAGCTTTTCCCCTATGGTCAGGTACATGACAGGGATGTTCACTGTCGCCAGTATTGTTCAGTATAGTACTGGAAGTCCTAGCCTCAGCAATCCGACAACAAAAAGAACTAAAGAAATAAACTAACGAAATAAAAAGCATGCAGATTGGTAAAGAAGTCAAACTTTTACTCTCTGCAGATGACATGATGGTCTATGGAGAAAACCCAAAGACTCCACCAAAAAATTGCTAGAACTCATACAGGAATTCAGCAAAGTCACAGGATATAAAATCAATGCACAGAAGTCTGTTGCATTTCTGTACACCAATAATGGGTCAGTAGAAAAAGAAATCAAGGGATTGATCCTGTTTACAGTTGTACCAAAAACTGCAAGATATTTAGGCATAAACCTAACTAAAGAGGTAAAAGATGGATACTCTGAAAACTATAGAACACTTATGAAATAAATTGAGGAAGACAAAAAACTGGAAAAATCTTCCATGCTCATGGATTGGAAAAAAAATATTGTTAAAATATCCATACTACTCAAAGCTATCTATACATTGAATGCAATCCCTACCAAAATAGCATGAGCATTTTTCACAGAGCTGGAAGAAAAAATTCTAAAATTAATATGGAATCAGAAAATACCCTGAAAATCCAAAGTAATGTAGGGAAAAAAAAAAAAAAACCAAAGCTAGAGGAATCACAATTCCAGACTTCAAGCTGTATTACAAAGCAATAGTCATCAAAACAGTATGGTACTAGTACAAAAACAGACATATAGATCAATGGAACAGAATAGAAAACCCAGAAATGGACCTCACCTGATCTTCAACAAAACAGGAAAGAATATCTAATGGAAAAAAGATAATCTCTTCAACAGATGGTGTTGGAGAAGTTGGGACAGCCACATGAAGAAGAATGAAACCGGACCACTTTCTTAAACGGTACACAAAATAAATTCAAAGTGGATGAAAGACCTAAATATGATAGGAATCCATCAAAATCCTAGAGGAAAACACAGGCAGCATCCTCTTTGACCTCAGCCTCAGCAATTTCTTGCTAGACATGTCTCCAGAGGCAGGGGAAACAAAAGCAAAAGTAAACTATTGGGACTTCATCAGGATGAAAAGCTTCTGCACAGCAAAGGAAACAGTCAACTAAACCAAAAGCCAACTGACAGAATGGGAGAAGATATTTGCAAGTGACATATCAGATAAAGGGCTAGTATCCAAAACTTATAAAGAACTTATCGGACTCAACACTCGAAGAACAAATAATCCAATCAAGAAATGGGCAGAAGACACGAGCAGACATTTCTCCAATGAAGACATCCAGATGGCCGACAGACACATGAAAAAGTGCTCAGCATCACTTGACATCAGGGAAATACAAATCAAAACCACAAGACCAATGATGTACTGTACCTTGGCTAATTGAATGAAAAAAAAAAAACCTAGAATGAGATACCACCTCACACCAGTCAGAATGGTTAAATTAACAAATCAAGAAACAATAGTTGTTGGTGATGATGCAGAGAATGGGAACCCTTTTTACACTGCTGGTGGGAATCCAAACTGGTGCAGCCATTCTGGAAAACAGTATGGAGGTTCCTCAAATAGTTAAATGTAGAGCTACCCTATGACCTAGCAATTATACTCAAAGGATACAAAAATAGTGTTTTGAAGGGGCACATGCACTCCAATATTTAGCAGCAATGTCCATAATAGCCAAACTGTGAAAAGAGCCCAGGTGCTTGTCAACAGATGAATGGATAAAGAATATGGAGTGTGTGTACACACACACACACACACACACACACACACACACGAATATTATACAGCCATCAAAAAGAATGAAATGTTGCCATTTGCAACAATGTGGATGGAACTAGAGGGTATTATGATAAGTGAAATAAGTTACTCAGAGAAAGACAATTATCATATTTCACTCGTGGAATTTAAGAAACAAAACAGATGAATATAAGGGAAGGGAAGGGAAGGAAAAATAAAAGATAAAAACAGAGAAGAAGGCAAACCATAGGAGACTTTTAACTATAGGGAGCAAACTGAGGGTTGTTGGAGGGAGGTGGGTGAGGTTATGGGGTAATTTGGTGATGGGCATTAAGGAGGGCACTTGTTAAAATGAGCACTGGGTGTTATATTCAAGTGATGAATCACTAAATTCTACCCCTGAAGCTAATGATACACTGTATGTTAACTAAATTGAATTTAAACAAAAAACTTCTTGAGGAGGGCATGTGTGGTGATGGGTAATGGATATTATATTGCAATTAATGAATTGTTGAACACTATGTCAAAGCCTAATGATGTCAATTATGATATGGTTTCATTTATTTGTGGAACATATGGAATAGCATTCAGAACATTAGGAGAAGGAATGGAAAAATGAATGGAGGGGAACAGAGGGGGAAATGAACCATGAGAGACTATAGACTCTGAGGAATAAATTGAGGGTTTTAGAGGGGACAGGAGTGGGGGGATGGGTGAGCCCAGTGGTGGGTACTAAGGAGGGGTACGTGTTACTTGGAGCACTGGGTGTTATACGCAAACAGTGAATCATGGAACACTACATCAAAAACTAATGTATTGTACGGTGACTAATGTAACATAATTTAAAAAAATAATGTATTATGTGTCGGTTAATTGAACATAATAAAAATGAGTTAAAAATTTTTTAATATATATATTTTTTATTTATTTTCTGCATAACAGTATTCATTATTTTTGCACCACTCCCAGTGCTCCATGCAATCCGTGCCCTCTCTAATACCCACCACCTGGTTCCCCCAACCTCCCACCCCCCGCCGCTTCAAACCCCTCAGATTGTTTTTCAGAGTCCATAAAAATTTTTTTAAAAAGTAAGTTGACTTATTCATAGTCCTAGTCTTGTGGAGCTGTGTGTTTTTTTAGACAAATTAATTTCTAAAATACAAAATGGAAAAAACTTTCAAATAATTTTCAATTAAATGCCCTTGTTGATGACCAAATTCTCGTTAAAACATGAATGTAAACAAGACTTTTTATGAACTAAGGTTTATATATTTATTCTGTTACCAATTAATATTAATTTGATCAAACAAAATATATTTTAAGTGGCAGATATAATACATTTAGGAACATTTTTCTCTGGTAATGCATTTGCAAAAATTTCTACCTACTCTTTCATATAATTAATGTTATCAGTTTTCTTATATTTTTCTGTAGCTTACTATTTAATATATTATGCTTTTTTCTAATAGAGAAAAATATTGAAATTATCATGTACTATTTTTATTAAAAAAGAAAATTGTTCAGAACTCTAACCAGCAATTTTGCCAGAAGAATTGTTCATTTTGTTAGTTTTTAAGGTAAGGATTATAAGAAGGCAGCATTTTCAAATTTTAATTTCTTCCAGCCAGGGCTTCTTATCCTTGGCATTGTGCCCACTTGGGGCCAGATAATTCTTCATTGTGGGGAGTTGTCTTGTGCATTTTAAGATGTTTAGCAGCATATATGACCTCTACTCAGTAAATGTCGGTAACAC